ATTAGTCTGTTGAGTCTTTATTTTTATTGAATCCTATGGAAACAGCTCCTTTAAGCAAATGAAAGAAAGTAAATAGTTTAAGCAATTTGAGAATACATATTGTTCATTTTTGGCTATAAATTAACAATATGATTGATTTAAATGGACATTTCTGTCATTGATTCTAAAATTTGAACTGATATAACAGATGGAATTCAGCTGCCCAAGCAAGCTTCTGGGATTTGATTATTCAAGTGATTAAGATGCTATTTGTCAACTCTAGTTTACCACCCCTTTTAATTATATAGATAATCAAACTAAGAACTGCTAATTCTGTCTCCTAACTATTAATTGTTTGTAATTACCCACAGATTAAAACTGCATGTGCAATTAACTCAAAGAATTAATTGATACAAGGGAATTGATAAAAGGGAAACAGAACAAGCTTGGCATAAAAAAACGCTCTAGGGACACAAGACCACTTGAACCCACTAGTGTCTTGGGCTCTGTCATGTCCTCTTAAAGATAATTGACACTTTCTTTGGACTTCACCTCTGTTGGAGGCAGCTGCCTAGACTATTTCTTATGAACTATTTCTCTTATTACATTACATATTATTATTATAAACGATATCTTATTTCTTCTTTCATGGTTGACTGAAACAGTGTATTTGAAAAGTTTGGACCTCTACTGTCTCTGGTCTTTTGCTGATATTCAGGAGACTTGGACAAATGTATCCATTTGCCACCCGAAAGAAATGTTTGTCACTGCAAAGATTACAGAAGTGGTAAATGTTTTAGCTAGCTAGGGATTTTTCCCTTCCTTTTTTCCTCTTTCTTTCTTTTTTCCTTCTCTTGGCAATATCATTGGAGTATAGGATCTTAGCAGTTTTCTGTGAGTCATTTGAATAATTTTAGTTTCTAAAATAATTATGCTTATTAGATTTTAGAGCATTCTCTCACCTGTGCAAATAATTGGCTCATTGTTAACTATATAAATTTAAATAAAAATGGGAAATAAAATAGGAAACCACCCCGAACTGAAATGTATTTAAAAACTATTACCATTATAAACATCAAGATGATGCTAGAAAGTGAGGGAAGATAATCTGGTGGAAACTATTTGGTGCTGAAAAAAATAGAAATTTAAAAACCTGTTTTAAAGTTTTTCCCATTCCTTCAGATATTTATATCAGTTACATTGTATGGGGATTTTCACTCTTAACAGTTTTGCTGATTGGCCTTTCAATCATGCCAAAGAAGTCCAGGAGTATATATTAAACTTATGCTTGGGACACGGCATTATTCAGTTTTACAGGAAATACAAAGCAAGTAAAAGACTTTTAACTTTAGAAAGGAAAATAAGATATGCAGGAGACAACAAAATAACTTGAACTAAATATATAATATTATTCACAGAGAGTCTAAGTAAGTATTGAGGAAATGCAAAGGCAGGAGGACATCAGTATGAATAGTTATTTAACAAAATTTTTAGGTTCTAAGTCAGCTCTGGTTCAGTTACTGATTCCTTGCTAATCTGACGGAAACTTTTTGGTTTCTTTCCAAATTTTGATATTACATTTTTTCCAGGTTTGTTTAATATCAGAATATTTTCTTCTATCATACTGGCTGTTAAACTGGGATTACCAGAAAGATTTCTTATTTTTCTACCTATAGAACTAGTGAGTATACACTCTTGCTCACTCCCACCCCAGCATTCAGAATCTCTGTCCACTGTGGCAATATCTGTGAAGATTGTTGGCTCCGTGGGGGCTTGTGAACATTTAGTCTGATGTATGACTGTGGTCTTCAAACTATCATTTTATAACTTTTGACTGACTGTGGAATAAGCTGGAATCTGCTGCATGTCACCTTCTGTGCCTGGCTTTTGAGGAGGAGTCATTAGCATACATCAATTTGTGAATGATTACCTTGAGGATTTTAGTGGAGGGTTTACTGCTTCTTGAAGTGGAAAAGTTATAGCTATATTTTCTAGTGTGATGCCTATATACTGGAGAAAATAATTCACAACCTTCTCAACTGCATGAGTCTGTTTTGTGAGTAAACCATATAAAATATCTGAAATACTCTGGACTGTCTTGGAAAAATAATTTGTATAGCATTTAGTTTCATTTTGGGTTTGGGCTGTTTAGTGATCACGAAGGCTCCCTTTGCCTGTGAGATCTTACCTCCGGACGCTAATTCTTATTCACTGGTGTTTACCTTAATTGCATTGCTGATGAACCAGAAGCATAGAGCAATTCCAACCAAGATATTGTCTTTATTATAGAAGGGTTTATAAATTTAAAAAGGAGATTGGGAAGAGACGCCCAATTATCTAAAATGTGAGAACACTTATTGTAGAAGTTCATTACGGGAAGTAGGTGGGCCAGAGATAATGCTAGCGAGTTGAGGAATGCTTCAAATTACTCAGAAAGCTTCATAAGAAATGTGAGGGCTTATACATCTCTAATAATCCTATGCTGTCCTTTTATATCCCTCTGGGTTTATAAAAGTCCAGAAGTTAGAAAATTGGACAGCCACATGCAGAAAAATGAAACTGAAATATTTCCTTACACCACACACAAAAATAGACTCAAAATGGTTGAAGGACCTCGATGTGAGAAAGGAATCCATCGAAATCCTTGAGGAGAACACAGGCAGCAACCTTTTCAACCTCAGCCGCAGCAACTTCTTCCTAGAAATATCGCCAAAGGCAAGGGAAGCAAGGGCAAAAATGAACTATTGGGACTTCATAAGATCAAAAGCTTTTGCACAGCAAAGAAAACAGTCAACAAAACCAAAAGACAACTGACAGAATGGGAGAAGATATTTGCAAATGACATATCAGATAAAGGGCTAGTATCCAAAATCTATAAAGAGCTTATCTAACTCAACACCCAAAGAACAAATAATCCAATCAAGAAATGGGCAGAGGACATGAATAGACATTTCTGCAAAGAAGACACCCAGATGGCCAACAGACACATGAAGAAGTGCTCCATATCACTCGGCATCGGGGAAATACAAATCAAAACCACAATGAGATACCACCTCACACCAGTCAGAATGGCTAAAATTAACAAGTCAGGAAATGACAGATGCTGGCTAGGATGCGGAGAAAGGAGAACCTTCCTATACTGTTGGTGGGAATGCAAGCTGGTGCAGCCACTCTGGAAAACAGCATGGAGGTTCTTCAAAAAGTTGAAAATAGAACTACCCTATGACCCAGCAATTGCACTACTGGGTATTTACCCTAAAGATACAAACGTAGTGATCTGAAGGGGCACGTGCACCCAAATGTTTATAGCAGCAATGTCCACAATAGTCAAACTATGGAAAGAACCTAGATTTCCATCTACAGATGAATGGATAAAGAAGATGTGGTATATATATATATATACAATGGAATACTATGCAGCCATCAAAAGAAATGAAATCTTGCCATTTGTGATGATGTGGATGGAACTAGAGGGTATTATGCTGAGCAAAATAAGTAAATCAGAGAAAGACAATTATATGATCTCCCTGATATAAGGAAGTTGAGAGGCAATGTGGAGGGGTTGGGGTTGGAAAGGAATAAATGAAACAAGATGGGATTGGGAGGGAGACAAACCACAAGCGACTCTTAATCTCACAAAACAAACAGGGTTGCTGGGGGGAGAGGAGTAGGGAGAAGGTGGTTGGATTATGGACATTGGGGAAGGTATGTGCTATGGTGAGTGCTGTAAAGTGTGTAAACCTGGCAATTCACAGACCTGTACTCCAGGGGCTAATAATACATTATATCTTAATAAAAAAATAAAAAAATAAAAAATCTTAAAAAAAAAGGTCCCCTGTTAAAGTATAATGTGTATGGCCTTTCCTTTACTAGCCTCTTTCCAGATACTAATACTTTCAGATCCTTTATAATCTTTCCATTATTGGCATTTGCTTCTGCTAAAGAATTTTATTATTCATATTGAGTTGTAACTAAAATATATGATTTATTATGTTTCTTCTTCTAGAGACTTTGTCTTTTTGATAGAGGACAAAGATTCTTTTTGACTGAAATGGGAGAAATTTTATACATAAAAATTAGAATGGAGTAGGATGTGTGCATGGTATTAATTAGGATGTCTCTGAGATAACATTACATTTTTTTGTTCTTTTATTTTCCTACTCTGCCTCCCTATAGGACACTTACCTTACATCCTGTAAATAAATTGAAGCAATGAAAACTTATTACTTTTGAGTTTTCTCTCAATTTATATGAAATTAACCAGTCCATAGATGACTCTATTAAATTGAAAGTTTCAGGAAAGAATATATGTATATAAATAAGTATTAGGAAGAAAATTGGAAATGTGAAAACAGTTTGTTTCACTCTGGATGGCAAGATTGAATCAATTTTTACTTCTTTTAAATGATTAATGTTTCTGAGAAATAAATAATCTAAAATTTCATCTTTAAAAAAAAGATTTCTCTGTGGAAATCCCATGTAACAACTGCCACGAGACTGGGGATATATGAGGGTTATGTTGGCTGACCTTTGCTCTTTCAACCTATTTTCTTAAGCACTTTTAATAATTTCACTTACTTTGCAATTTCAATACGTGTGCCTTCATCATAATTCTGAATTTTCTTTTAAAATACCAATGTAACGAGGAGAGGAGATTTCCTTTGATTTTTGTAAGTGCTACTCACAAATATGATTTTGCTTTAAGCCTCCTCTAAAAAAAGAAGTCAATGTTCTTGAAGAGAAGAGAGTCAAAAGAATGAGACTATTAGTTTCTGATGGGCACACTGTTTGCAATAAAAACACGAGAGCTTCACTGTATGAGGAAACCAATTAACCGAGGCCTCTCTGTGCAGTGGGATGGCTTCTCCTTCTCCCTGATTAGATGACTTGATGCAATTTTAATACAGAATAGCAGGGCCATAAAGATGATTCGCTTTCCTCTGTGTAACACTAAGCAATATGATCAGTGTATACTTTTCTTGGATAAATATTGTTTTAACCTACATTGATATTTCTCACAGACAAAACATTCTCCGATTGGAAAGGAATCATGCCAACAAAGTCTTCCCGTTTGACTCCTCCCCCAAGCTGGCCTAGTTTGTATGGGTCATCATCAGTGTTTCCGGATTACTGTCCTGTAAGTATTTGTGAAACTGGACTTAGAGTTGAATTACCATTTTTTTTTCTGGCAGGTTGCTGGGTTAATTTTGATATATGAGATTTTCCTATGGACCTATTTCAGTCCTAAATGATTCTCCACTGAAATTAATCTTTTTTCCTGAAGAAGTGCTTTTTGTTTGGTTATCATGTCTTGGGTTAATCTTGCACCATACAGACCATTGTAACTCATAAAACTCCTAAATATGTGTATTAAATTTTATTTGAAGAGTACTAACAGCCAAAGTGATCATCACAATGGTTTGCTCAAAATGTGATAGTAACTATTTTTGTAATAGTACCTAGACTGTCAAGTAAATAAAATGGAGGCCAATGGAGCATGAAGACATCTTTTAAGAGTGCATGACAATTAGAGGACTAAAAATATCCAAGGACAATTTCATGACCACACATTGATGGTTTTCTGAATGAGGGCTCTCTAAACTGAAATGTGGGACTCTGGGACTTGGAAATGGAATCTGGGGTTTAGTATTCATCAGGGCAAGTGTAAATAGTAGAGGAAACTCATGTGCCTATATATATATAAATATAAAAGGTTGAGCTTTTATATTTTTTCCTATAAACCAAAACTTTTGAATCATGTCAAATTTAACTTATGTTGCTAAATTTGTGAGTGAATTTACTAAAGCTAAACACTGTTTTAGACAAGGACATTATATGAATATCATTAAGGAAAATAATACAATATATTTAACAAAAGCAATACCTAGGGAAGGCTGTTTTTATTCTTTCCCAATAAAGGTAAAAAAAAAAAAATGAACTGCTTCTAAACCTTTCAGCTCTACCCTGTTTTATACTAACACTGTAAAGACTGCTCTTAGCTGTGTGACAAACTACATTTAAATGTATTTCTTTGGAAAATATATCTAGTAAGAGTACATTTGATTGTGGAGAGATCTAAACGTAAAACTGGGAGTATTTATTCATTGCTGAGTAGGAAATTAGGAATATATGAGGCTATTAACTATGGTTTTGACATAAAAGATAATGCTTCGTGTATGTGCACTTGTCTAAACAGTTTGAAATGGACTAGAGTGGAGACTGGGTGAGCATTAATAGGCCTTTTGCATCAGTCCAGTTAGAGGCTTGTATCTTATCCTTGCAAACCAACTGTATGGGGGGCAGTGTGAATGGGTAAGAGGGAGTAAGAGTCAAACCTTCAGATTTCTTTCCTGAAGCTTATTGCATTATCAGTTCCTTCACTGAACGTCTAAATGGCTTTTTTATTTTTAAAAATTTTTTTACTAAGAATTGCTCTTTTGTTTATCCTTTAAAATAATCACCTTTATCCTTTAAAATAATCATCAAGTTCTAAGTAATCTTTTTACCCCAATTTTTTATTGTGGTAGAATGTACATACATAAAATTTTAACCATTTTTGGGGTGCCTGGGTGGCTCAGTTGGTTAAAGCCTCTGGCTTCGGCTCAGGCCATGATCCCAGGGTCTTGGGATCGAGCCCCAGGGTCCTGGGATCGAGCCCGGCATTGGGCTCTCTGCTCAGTCGGGAGCCTGCTTCTTCCTCTCTCTCTGCCTGCCTCTCTGCCTGCTTGTGATCTCTGTCAAATAAATAAATAAAATCTTTAAAAAAATTTTTTAACCGTTTTTAAGTGTATCGTTTGGTGGCATTGAGTATACTCCCACTGCTTTGTGACCATCACTGCCATTCATCTCCAGAACTTTTTCAACTTTCTGAATTAAAACTCTCTACCCATCAAATACGAATTCCCTGTTCTTCCCTCCCCTCATTTCCTGGCAACAAACATTCTACTTATTGTCTCTTGTCTTTTGATGTGTCCTTTTGTGACTGGCTTATCTCACATAGCATAATGTCTTTAAGGTTCATTCATGTGATAGCATGTGTCATAGTTTCCTTCTTTTTTAAAAAGATTGAGTAATATTCTCTTGTATTTATATACAGGTTCCCCTGCATCTAAAAGTAGAGCATGGCTATGAAACTTTTTTGTAAGCTGAAATTACATAAGTTGAAGAAATAATTACCATTGATTTATATGTAAAATTTTTTAGTGTTCCCAGATTCAAAAAAATAACTTCTTCTAGGCTTTTCTGATATTTTAAGACACATCTTGCTAATAGATGAACAACATACTTGAAGATAAAGCGCAGATGTTCACAGACACAGGTCAAAGCTATGGCAGCTTGATGCTGAGATGCTTGCTGAGTGTAGTTCCCAGGGGAGCTTGGCAAGGCCACTCTCACTGCTTGGGTCTTTTTGCCTCTATAATGGCTGAAAAACGAATGCTGAGTGCTATTTCCACTTTTCATCTTTTTTCATAAAAGCAAAAATCCTCTTTGGATTACTTTGGGTTAGCAAAAAGAGGTACTGATGTAGATATTTCTTACAAGGGAAGTGGCAGAATGCAAACTTTCAAAAAGCAGGGAATACTTGTACCATATTTTGTTTACCCATTCATTTGTTGGTGGACACTTGAATTGCTTCTATCTTTTTGGAAATTTTGAATAATGCTACTATAAACATGGGTTTACAAGTATTATTTGAGTCCCTGCTTTCACTTCTCTTTTGTTATTTATCCAGAAGTGGAATTGCTGGACCATATTGTATTCCTATGTTTAATATTTTAAGGAGTTATCCATATTGTTTTCCACAATGGCTGTGCCATTTTGTATTCCCAATATTGATGCACAAGTATTCCTATGTCTCCATATTTTCATCAGCACCTATTATATTATACACTTTCTTGATAGCAGCCATACTAATGGGTGTGAAGTGATATGTAGTCTTGATCTGAAGTTTATTCAGTCAGTCCAAAAAACAATTAGGAAATTGAGAGTGTCAAAGCCTGCCTTGGTAAAAGAGGAGTGGAGAGAGGGCATAGAAAACCCTGTCTTTGATTTTGTAGGAGGAGAGAAAAAATTTGTACATTTTGCTTTCAAAACACTCTCTATAGCATAGCTAATCTTCTCAAAATTTTAATTCACTCAAATAAGAAAGTGACTGGGGATATACTGTCTTTTGGCTAAAAAAAACCACCGTCCCTTTTAAGCCTGGAAGTTTCGTTTTCTTTTTAAAGTATTTTGAATTTTTACATGTTTTCAGTTCTAATTAAATAATAATTTAATGATGTTATATGTCTTTAGTTTTAATATTTCATTTCTGCAACTGCAGTCTTATTGTATTAGAATTATGTTAGATTTATAGGTACTTTAAGCAATAGCATATGGCTCCCTGAAACATCTTTAAATGAAGTTAAAGAAACTGCATCTTGAAGAAAAGGTTACTAATGTTACTTTTTATGATCTCTGAAGTACTGAGATATTTATAGCCTTAATTGTCTTGGAAGATAATATTTATTGAAGATAAGTGAACACCTGAAAATGTAATGCCTGTGTAATGTAAAAATTTAATATTATGTAGCAATAATATGGAAAAGACCACCATTTCCATCTTTCTTGCCACAGTTTAATTTTATAATTATTTTTTAGAAGGTTTGCCAACTTGGGGGGCTTGGGTGGCTCAGTCTGTTAAATGTCTGACTATTGATTTCAGCTCAGGTCATAATCTCATGGGTCCTGGGATCAGTGCTCCATCAGCTTCTGGCTTGGCAGGGAATCTGCTTGAGATTTTCTTTCTCTGCGCTGCCACCCCTGCCATCCCTCTCCTGCATGTGCACACACATGAGCTCTCTCTTTCTCTCAAATAAATAAATTCCTTAAAAAGACAAAAAAAAAAAAAAAGGTTTTCTAACTTTATAGTAATATGAAGTAATCTTGAAACCTACAACCTGGAGGACTGTAGTTGTGGAAAACAGCCTTGGTATTTATCAAAATTCTGAGAAGGAAAAATTAATGTATTTATCAGTAGTGCTCTTAAAAATAGCTAGGATAAAAACAAATATTGATAGAAATTTGTATAAGTGAAATAACTTTTATTCACTAGTTGTTAGTAAGGCAACCCTCTCCTCAGCGAGCAGTTATTAATTATGTTGCAGTACTCTCCCTGAGGGGACATATGCCATTTGCTGATACCCTAGAATGAGGATGAAGTGACAAGTGAGGGAATGCCAAGAGTGTGCCCATGCATCCATCTGGTGATGGTGATAGGGCTCAGGGTAGTAGAATAGAGGGGAAAGAGCAGTTGTGGTTGTCTGAGGTGGGAGAGCAGGGTCCATTTCAGGAATTGAAAGAAATTCATTGGGGCAAAAGCACAGCTAAGAAATGAAAATGAAGAGGTAAGCAGGTCCCTATTATCATGAAGTGCCTTGTCGGAAGACTGTCAGTCACTTTATCTTCCTAACCCTGATTACAAAAACTTTGCCTAACCTTGACACTTGGAAGTAAGGGACACAAGCAAATAGAATTCAGTTTAGTAATTAGTTGCCTTATAAACTGTTTTGTGTTTCAGAGAATAAACTGTGAGTCAGTCCTTTGGGCATTTGGTGTCATTCCCCTCCATGCTGCCCACCCCCTCTTCTCTAGGGGAACACATCCTCCATAAGAGAGAAGAAAACAACTTGCTGGTCATATTTTTTTTTAACATGCTTATAGTTTCATCTCATAAACAAAAATTTCATTAGTTTTATAGAAACATATTTTTAGAAATGAAAAAAATTTCACATAGAACATTCTTCACATAATCTTCATTTTGTTTTTTTCATTTTTATTTTTTACTAAATTTTAAAATTTCAATTTCAATATAGTTAACATACAGTATTATATTAGTTTCAGGTGTACAATATGGTGATTCAGCAATTTTCCACATCATTACTCAGTGCACATGATAAGTGTACTAATTCCCATCACCTATTTCACCTTTCGCCAGGTCTCCTTGATATATTTTTTAAAGATTTTATTTATTTTTTTGACAGAGATCACAAGTAGGCAGAGAGGCAGGCAGAGGGGGAGGGGGAAGAAGGCCCCCTGATGAGCAGAGAGCCCAATGCAGGGGCCCGATCCCAGAATACTGGGATCATGACCTGAGCT